ATGCTATTACATTATGGTTTTGATTTATATGTCCGTAAAGATTAAAGACGTTGAGTAGCTTTTCAAATGCTTATTGGTATTGATGTATCTTTGGACAAATGTCTATTCAAGTCTTTGGCCTGTTGTTTTCTCTTTTGATAGGGGTAGGGTCTTGCTGGGATGCCCAGGCTGGTTGCAAATTCCTGAGCTCAAGCAATTCTCTCACCTTGGCCTCCCCAAACACTGGGATTACAGGCATGAGCCACTGTTTCCAGTCATTTTGCCTGTTTTTTAAAGGAGGTTATTCGTGTTTTTTGTTGTTGTTCTTATTCTCATTACTTTTTCCACTGGGGGTGGGGTTCTGTGGGGTGCCGGTGCTATGCAAGCATTTCGTATTAGACTTCTGCTCTACGCTGGTTTCTGCACCCTATGCAGTCATCCAGGTGGAAGTTCAAGCTCTCAGCACAGAGTTTGAGATGAGTGCTGGCTCAGGCTCCACTAAGCTGTCAAGGTTTCTGCCTTCTCTTTGCTTCTGGCCTCTATGGCAGCCTGAGGATGCCTCTAGCAAGATGAGTTTTACATTTTCTTCAGCATTTTAGCTGTTTCCATCAGGAGGGCCGTCAGCCACCTAATCGCCCACACTATAGAAACCGTAGCTCCTGGACATTGATTTTCTGACCACGTCTTGACTTTCCTCTCTGCCGTCAGAAGTATTTGCTTGTGTCTGAGACAGCCTGAGGAATTCCATATAGGTAAGTGCATCGTTAGGTTCACGACAGAAAGGAAAGCGGAGAGTAAATGTGTGTCTACACCATGATCGTGATTTTGTAATGTTATGTGCCTGTGAATAAGGACATGAAGTTTACGTAGAGAAAGGAAAAGTGGTCATTTCTTAGATTGGTGTAATGGGGACAACTTACTTTCCTTTTAAAAATGCACTCCTCCCTTCGTCAGCCATGCAGTCAGTCAGTCAGTCGCGAGTGAGTCCTTGGCTCCAGCCCTGTCCTGGAAGCAGGAGACCCAGAGACTGAAGAGATTAGAAAGCGCCCAGTCCTGAGTCCTTGTGCTTGTGATGCTGGTTATGCCCAGTCCTGAGTCCTTGTGCTTGTGATGCTGGTTATGTACACAGTGAGCAGTGGCCTGCGAACGAAGTTAGGTGATGTAGTAGTGGTATGGGGGCTAAATGCCTTAACATTGGAAGGGCAACCTAAGAAAAAATCCCAGCAGTTTGGGGGAGAATGCCTAGTCCTCAAACAGATGTTTTCGAGGGACAACAGGAACCATTGGAAAAGAGTTTGAAGTTGTGACTTTCCTCAGAGCGGTGAAAACAAGATTCCATTTTCAAAAATGTCCTTTTCACACCGCTAAGAAATGCCAGCCACAGAAGGGATCTCAGCTAGGGGAGGGGGCAGAAGTGCGTAGGGTTTAGACAAAAGCCCAGCCCCCTTTGGGCTTTCAAGAGCAATTCAGAATCCCTGTGTGGAAAAGGGGAGAGGGGCAAGTTCCCAGAGAGACGAAGGGCAGAGCAGCCTGGAGACTTCCTCTCTACCGGGACACCGCCTGCTCCGGCTGTCGGCAGCCTTCTTCAGGTCCCGTCTTTGTAAAAAGTGCTGCTCAAAGCTGGGACTTAAACTAAACAGATTTCCTAGAGGAAACACACACACACCATCACACTCTGCTAAAGTTGCTTTTATGGACATTTCCCTGAGAAATATTTCTCTCTGGAAAAATAAATTCACAGGATGTAATTAAAACCATGATGTGTGTATGTTGGCCAGGGCTCTTCTTAAGTGCTTCACCAAATGGGCCACCAAATAAAGCAATGAAGGCCGGCTTTGTTCACGTCAATTAACAATGCTATTTATTAATTGTAACACAGGGCATTCTCTTGGTACTTTATGGTTTCAGAAACAGCCTTGCGGTTGGCCCTTGCCCAAGGCAGCCTCGGTTCTGACCCCAGTGTGACCTCTGCAGGGAGACACCACGAGGACTCCTCAGTGGCACTGGATGAGGCGACAGGCTCAGCTCCACCGACGTGCCCATTTGGGCCTGTGTTTTCTGCTGATAACCTAGGGGAAAAAACATTCTAAACATGAGAAAAGTTCCTAAAAAAGAAACTGTTAGCAAAGCCGTGCTTCTGAGTAATAGGGCTAAGGGGAGTTAGGTCTTCCTACCCTCGGCGGGGCTCCTGGCCCCGGGCTCTCCTGCTGGGTCTTCACCTCAAGGAGCAACTGTAATTCGTTTCTTTACTGGATGTATGAGCCCTGAAGTTGCGGAAACAATTCACCATAGACCTGTCTTTAGCCCAGGTGTGGGCGGGGCTGTGCTCCCCCAACCCCCATGTTCTAGGGGAGGGTCCTTTCTGCCTCTGCCAGCTTCTGGGGGCCCCAGGTGTTCCTTGGCTTGTGGCCGCGTCACTGCACTCTCCACCCCTGTCTCCACACTGTCTTCTCTCTCTCCAATCCGCCTTTGCCTTTCTCTTGTAAAGGCAGCCGCCATTGGATTAGGGCCTGCCCTAAGTCCAGAATGATCTCATCTCAAGATCCTTAATTGCATTTGCAAAGACCCTTTTTCCAAATAAGGTCCCATTCACAGTTTCCAGAGCTTAGGCCATGGATGTCTCTGTTTTGGGGCTGCCGTTCAATGCCCCCATGCTGGTCTATAGGTTCCTTGGGATGGTGTCCAGCTTTGCTTAACCTGAACCCTAGGACCCCGGTACCCTGGTGTGGCAGTTTGTCAATTTCAGAGCACGAATGACTTTATCCATTGGTTCAGGAGCAAGGCCTGGGCCAGCTCCTGCGAGAGAATCAAAATACCCGTCCCACCAGAAGCCACTTTCGTGGAACCTAAGTGTCTGCCAGGAGAGATAGGCCAGCACCTCTGGCAGCTGCAGTTAGGTGAGGAGAGATAAATGTTGCCGGGAGGGCCTGGAGCCAAGGCCTCAGTTGCGGGGTGGGAAGTGGGGTTGGGGGAATGGGGTCATCTGGTGAGGAGGGAGAGGTCCCCAGGACAGGGGTATGGGAGGGAGGGAGCCTTGTGTGCAGACCCCGGGGACAGCGTGCTGGTCCTAGAGGGTCAGGTTCTAGGCAGGGGGCTTGGAAGCTGGAGGAGGGGAGGGAGGTTGGGGCTCCTCTCGGGAAGGGCCTCAGATGCCAGGCTTCTCGAAGAGCCTATAGATGGGCATTCAGGGCACCATGAAGGAGTCTGTGAGCCCGAGTGACAGGACCAACTGGTATGGCAGGAAAAGTTCACCTGGTGGTAAGGAGGGCGTGGTGGGGCCAGCTCAAAGACTCCAGCACTGCAGCAGGACAGACAGGGAGCGGGCTGGGATAGGGTCTCCACTCACCCTGCTTTGAAAACTGGCAGCCCTGTGTTCTGGGGCCCACTCAGTGCTGGGCAAGCTGGGCTGTTGGTCCCCGTGGCCGAAGAGTCTCTAAGAATCTCCTGTCTCTGCTGCCAGTCCCTGCTCTGGGACCGAGATTTCCTCACTTCTGACTCCTCCCACTGTGGCAGTGACCAGCACATAGTAGGTCCTTCCATGGGTGCTGCCTGGAGAGATGCAGGCCCTGGCAGAGAATGCATGGTCTCACTGAGTGCCGTGGCCTCCTGACACTAGTGGAGTTCTCAGTCACACCAAGGGAGGCAGCATGGCACCTGTGAGGGGGACTGAGAGAGGGCACCCCCTTGGCAGGGCTCCCAGGGCCCACACCGTCCTCTGCAGTCCCCATGGCTGGGCTCCCCGGTCCTCCCCTGGGGCCTCCACTGCCAGGCTAAACCACGTCCAGAGGCCAGCCTGGCTGGAAGAGGGAGGCTTCGAGGGCTGCAAGGAACTTCACTGCCTGGGCCCTGCCCAGCCCCGCCAGCCCCAAGCGGAGGGCCTGCTGGGACACTGCCTCTGCCCCTGAGCCTTGCCCTGTTCCTAGCTGGGCAGAGAAGGTGGGCTCAATTTCAGACAGGGTAGGGGGGGGTGGGAGGTTGGAAGCGGGCCTGGCTCCACTCAGCAAAGCCATGCCATAGTGAGCATTAGCAGCCGTGACACTGATGCCCACTGTGTACTGAGGCTCTCTCTGCCCCAGGAAGCCTGTGGCACGTTCTATGGGATTTTGTGTCTTTACAAAGCCTGCCAGGTGGGTATTATCAGCCTCATTTGACAGGGAGGCAGCTGGTGCTCGCCCCGATGACTCAGCTGGAACGATGTGGATCTGGCTCCCTAGCTTGGGGCAAACACCCTGACTCTCTGCAGTGGGCTCCAAGGCCTGAGACAGGGTCTGCGGGGCAGGGGCTGGTAAAGATGTTTCCAGGGCAAAGCATGGAGGGTCAGTGAGCTGCCCTCATCTCGTGGCCTCACCTGGTAAACCTTCAGCTGCCCTGTTTCCTTCAAAGCAGGAGATCCTTAAAAGGGGAAGAGAGGGCTGGGCCTCCTGGGAGGAGACACCCCAAACACAGGCCCACAGGGCCTAGGATCAGGAGAGATTCCCATTTCTGGTCCCTGCCTGGGTGACATCTGCTGCCCAATTCCCGGAGACAGCTGTAGGGGTTGAGCGGCAGCAGCATCAGCACACCCGGGCCCGTCAGGGTCCTCACCAGCCTGCAGCTGGGGAGCTCAGGTTTCCAGCCTCTCATATACCTGCCGTGCTTCCAGAGGGAACTCCAGTTCCCTGCGACAGGAAGGATGAGGGATGAGGGCCCCTTCTCAGACCTCCTGAACCAGAAAGCCCATTGTCGGACATTTTTGTTACAAAATGATGGTAACAAGCACTACTGTAGCTGAATCTCTTACACATCTGATTATTTCCCTAGAATGAATGCCTGGAAGATGCATTTCTGATCAGGGATTATTCATTCTCTTTGGGGGAGGCCTGAGCCTCCAGGGGGCAACAGGAAGCACCAGGTGATTTTAGGGGTGGGAAAACGGGAGGGAGCCACTGGGACCTGGAGGGGCAAGACAGCCCAGTGCACTGGTCCTGTCCCTGCTGTGCCAGGCTGGGATGGCACTGGCAAATCCCTGTCGCTTGTAGGTGATGGGACCCAAGTTGATTCATCTCCAGCAGTCACTGAGTGTCCCTGTGTTGGTGGGTCTTTTGGACTCAGAGGACCTGAAGAAGAGGGACCCTGGAGAGGTGAGGTCTAAGGGGGAGACAGGCTGTGGGGCTGGACAGTCTGGATGTGACCCCAACTCAGTCACCTGTGGGCTGTGTGGTTTTGGGCATAGCACCAGGCCCGCAGATCTCAGGGTCCTGAGAAATGGGGGTGATGGCATTGGCAAAGTGTGGACAGTGATTGAGTGTCCTTCCCCATCCAGCACTACTGGCTCTGTGGACGCTGCCCTGCACCATGTGGGCATTTAGGAGGCACAGAGGCGGGGATGTGAGGCCACCTTCCCACTACGGACCACGTGCTGCCTCAGGTTCTTCTAAGAGGCAGGATCCCAAGGGCAACATGTGGCAGGGGAGACGGAGGTGCAGGTGCAGGAGGGCCGCTCTGCTCAGGGCACTCAATACCTTGATGCAAAGGCTGATGACACGCGGGACACCCACTGTGGGCCCACCGGGACCAGGCAGGTGGAGCAGCGGAGGCCCACGGAGACCTGGCTCTGCCCAGGCTGCACGTCAGAATCACCTGGGTGCTCTGAACCACCCAACACCCAACCCGCACCCCTGACTGACTGCACCGGAACCTCTTTTAAAAACGTATTTAAAACGATTGTGGTAAAATATACAGAACATAAAACTTAACCTTCTTTAAATGCACAGTTCAGTACTGTTAATTCACAGTTCACATTGTTGTGCGACCAGGCTCCAAAACTTTTTCATCTTCCTCAACTGAAACTGTCCCCATTAAACACTAACTCCTCATTCCCCACTCCCCCAGTCATTGGCAACCCCTCTTCGGCTCTACGATTTCACTACTACAGGGACCTCAAATAACTGGAATCACACAGTACTGTGTTTGTCTTTTTGTGACTGGCTTATCTCACTCAGCATAACGTCCTCAAGGTTATCCGTGTTGTGGCGTGTGTCAGGATTCCCTTCCTTTCTAAGGCTGAGTACCAGTCCACTGTATGGATGGACGGCATTAACTTTCTAAGGCTGAGTACCAGCACACTGTATGGATGGACGGCATTTCCTCTCTAAGGCTTAGTACCAGTCCACTGTATGGATGGACGGCATTAACTTTCTAAGGCTGAGTACAAGCACACTGTATGGATGGACGGCATTTCGTTTATCCATTCATCCATCCAACAACACGTGAGTCGGTTTCAGGCTTCAGCGTTGCTGAAGCTCCAAGAGTTCGAGATGTGCGGCTGTGGTGGAGCCAGGGGCTGGGCACACTCCTGGCTCCTGGCCTAGCAGCGTCATCATCGGAGTCACCTGTCCCTCATGCCAGTGGTGCTTTCTGCTGTTAACAAGTCCAAACACCACTGTAGTAAGTACCCCTACTCCTGCCTCCACCCCCCACAGGGCCTGCCAGGTCTGCCCCCAGTGGGCCCACCCGGTCTGGGCCACCCAGGGCCAGCTTCAGCGGGGGCACTTGCAGGGCTGCCCCTGCGGCTTCCCTTACTCCCGTCTGGAATGTTGTACACATGGATGGGCCAGCAGCTCACGCCCAGGACTGCTGGGGTCTCCGGACGCCCTCATCAGCCTCCTGCTGTGCTGTGTACAAATCCTCCTCCTGCATGAGGCCCCGCTAACACAGCAGGGGAGAATGGGAGGAGCCAAGGGAATCCACGCTGAAGGACCAACACCAGTACTCATGGTGGGACGACGCTACGATATTTGAAGTCGGGAGTGTGCGAGAAATAATACTTGTTCACGAATGCATTCATTTATTCAATGCACTTCGTGTCAGCCACCGGCTGTCATCAGCTACGGACCTGATTGTGGGGCTTCATGGAAGGGATTTGGGGGAGCATTCATCTAAAACCACAGCACGCCGTGACGCTCAGCCCTGCAGTGGTCCCTCACCAGTCCCCGCGCCTCCCAATCCACCCTCCCGGGGGCTGCTCGCGGCTAGGGCCCACCTGCGGGGACCCAGC